GCTGTCCCAGAGGTGCTTTTTCAACAAGCAGCTGGACTTTGTTTTTCCTTGAAGATGTTGAAGAAAGCTCCACACCCATTTGAGCTACTCAGGTGACCCCGAGGGCACAGATAAACCCCCAGTGACTCTCTGAAAGAGTGCCTACGACCAGATGTCTGCAAGGAATATCAATCCCTCACCCTCCACTAGTCAGTCAGAACTGAAGAAGCTTTTTGAATGACAAGTGAAATGTCTTCAAGCAGAAACTGTCAGAGTTTGTTGCAGCACACACAGGCAGACTGTTAAGCAGGATTCAAAAACGTCTTTATATACATATTCAATTCAATGTAGAGAAAAGTAAAGTCTTAGGTAAGAAAAACCAAAAGCACACATATAAACTGGGTGAAACCAAGCTTAATAGCAGTGACTGTGAGAGGGAGTCTTAGTGGACAATCAGCTAAATATGAGCCAGCAATGTGCAGTGGCAGCCAAAGGGGCCAATGCAATCATAAACTGCATTAACAGAAGGATACAATCAAGACCACACCTAGAATACTGCATCCAGTTTTGGTCACCACACTACAAAAAAGATGTTGAGACTCTAGAAAAAATGCAGAGAAGAGCAAGAAGGATGATTAGGGGACTGGAGACTAAAACATATGAAGAACGGTTACAGGAACTGGGCATGGCTAGTCTAGTGAAGAGAAGGACCAGGGGACAATGATAGCCGTCTTCCAATATTTGAGGGGCTGCCACAGAGGGTCAAGCTATTTTCCAAAGGCCAGACAAGGAATAATGGATGGAAACTGAACAAGGAAAGATTCAACCTGGAAATAAGGAGAAATTTTCTGACAGAGAACAATCAACCCATGGAACAGAAGTTGCCTTCGGAAGCTGTGGGAGCTTCATCACTTGAGACTTTCAAGAAAAGATTCGACTGCCATTTGTTAGAAATGGTATAGGGTCTCCTGCTTGAAAGGGGGTTGGACTAGATGACCTATAAGGTCCCTTCCAACTCTGTTAATCTGTTAAATCTGTTACATAACACATAAGGCATACAATACCCTTGTAGGTTTTTCCATGTTGTAGAGAAGAGAAATAGCAAGTACAAACACAGCACAAAATGGAAGCACAAAATGGAGAAGGCAAAATGGATGGGAGAGAAGCTAGTGCCCTCAAGCTTATATACAGAACAGTTAAGCCACGCCCAGCCTCCAAACTGTCTCTTATGGCCCCATATAACAAAACTATGTTTCAGTTACCAAACAGCCCTCATTGGCTGACCTGTCGCTATGCCCTATTCCAGTTCATGAATATACTCTGACAGAAACAAAGTCCAGTTATTTCCCCATTCCACACTGGGGTTCAATCACACATTCCTTCAGCAAGGTCCTCTCACCTGAGCAGCTCCAGAGAACTTCAGTGTTGTGGCTGGAAAGATCATGTTTTGCATGATTCTAGAGCAAACCTTCTGCAGTCAAGACAGAAATAAAGCAGGTCAATCCTGACTGGCACAAATGAGGCATGAAATTACATAGAAGCACAGGAGCTTCTGGCTCAGGGGAAGGCCTATTAATCCAACAGATCTGGCCATCCTTAGGTGTGAACTGAAAACAGGCAGGGCAGGTGTGCCTCAGGGAAATACTGTATATGAAGGGACTTAAGAAGGTTGCTGGTGGCAAAGCCTCAGAAGATGAGGAGAGAAATGAATTCTTGGGTATTTTTAGAGAGCTGCCTTTGCTCAGGCTGTTTCAATTTTCATGTTTCTCTATGCTTCTGAGTCACAAGTTTTGAATGAAACATAATTTTTCTCCTGGCATGAGACACCCCCACACCTTCATTTATTAAGTTGCTCACATCTCCAAGGTTTTTTCCACTGTCCAAGCAAGCAGAAGCAGCTTCTCCTCATTCTAAGAAATGAACATCAAAAATGGGAATTCAGTGGATGAGATGACAATCGGAATAAAGAGATGGATAAATGTATGGAGAAACCAGCAATCCCTTCCATTGCAGCTACAGGAGACCTTTTAGAATGGATAAAATCTGCCCAGATCTCAAAGAGATGTCTGAGCTTCTGTTCTAGGGGTCTTAAAATATACTGTATATATCTTAAATTTATCTTAATCTCTCTCTCTCAATCTCTCTCTCTCTCTCTCTTTCTATCATTTCTATCATTTCTATCATATCTATCTATCTATCTATCTATCTATCTATCTATCTATCTATCTATCTATCTATCTATCATCTATTTCTATCCTCTCTCTCTCTCTCTCTCTCTCTCTCTCTCTCTCTCTCTCTCTCTCTCTCTCTCTCATATTTCTTAAGAACACTGAAAATTTCAATTTCTTAGCTGGGTGAAATCTGCAGGCCCAGTTGAAAATTCAGTTAAGAAAATCCAATCTTTCAACTTTCCGACAAATTAATGCAGCAATCTTTATTATTTGATTGGGGAGCAACTAAGGGAAATATTGGATTGTACAATAGAATATTGTTCTGTTTTCTATTTAAAATAGTCCAGAAGAAGACAAACAAAATGCTTCATCTTTGATGGAATGGATAAATAATAGTGGTCATACGGTCATCTGCTTTCTTTAACATTTCGGGGCTGGGGTTTGGATGAGGGCACATTTGAAATTTGGGGAAACTGTCTCAGGAACACCCTTGCAAACTATTTGCCATGATGGTGGGAGAAATCACAGCCCGTTTAGTGGGAGGCGAACTACTGAGGTTGCCCACACAGTTCTCCCTTTTCCTCTCTCTTTTTTCCAGTCAGCGGGCAGACTTCCAAGCCAAGCGTGAAGCTGCTGCTGCTATGCCGCATTTCCTTATGTAAGAATCCAGGAATCTGATGGAAATATAACTGCTTGGAGCTGGTGCTTCCCTTCGCAGCAGGGAATGTCTTCCTGTTTGCACATCGATTCATTGAAGAGAATCTAAAATAAATTAAAACGTCAGAGGTGATAGGGAACCTGGAGGATGCTAAGGGCAGTTTTGCACCTTCACACCTGCCTTTTTCCAGGCAGTGGTGTTGTGTCATAATGCACCTCAGAGATTGGGGGAGTGTATGTGTGAGGCTGGTGGTGGTTTCTAAATGGGATTCTCTTCTCACTTTCATTTTTTTTCCAGGCAGAGGACATGCTTCTCCTTCACACCTCGCTGAGAAAAGCTCAGGCTTTTCAAGAAGAATATCTCTGCAGCCCTCTTCCTGATTCCTTTCTGCACACAAATCTATTTCATTTCATTTCATTTCATTTATTAGATTTCTATACCGCCCTACTCCCGAAGGACTCAGGGCGGTGCACAGCCAAACAATAAAAACACATACAATACAAAATTTAAAAAATAGAATAAAATCAAATTAAATAATTTTGGCCCCGACAAATTTAAAACCCCAGACTTTTAAAACCAATTTAAAATTGAATATATAAATACTAAAAGATGTTTAAAATTTTAAAAATCTTTTATAAAAGAGGGGGAAAATTAGGCCAGGCCGGCCTGGTGAAATAGTAAGGTCTTTAAGGCGCGGCGGAAGGTGCGCAGATCCGGGATCCTCCGTATCTCTGGGGGGAGCTCGTTCCAGATAGTAGGTGCCCCCAGAGAGAAGGCTCTCCCCCTGGGGGCCGCCAGTCGGCATTGTTTGGCTGACGGCACCCGGAGGAGCCCCTCTCTATAGGAGCGTACTGGCTGGTGGGAGGCTATTGGTGGTAGTAGGCGGTCCCGCAAGTACCCGGGTCCTAAGCCATGGAGCACTTTAAAGGTGGTAACCAAAACCTTGAAGCGCACCCGGAAGACCACCAGGAGCCAGTGCATCTGGCTATGCAGCCACTTCTGAACACCTTGCTTCAGGGACCCCTTCTCAACTTTAAGGAACAGGCAGTGAAGGTGGAGGAGGCAGAATCCCTCTCCCTGTTCTGACCAAGGCTTCCTGAGACAGTAAAAAGCACACAATTAGTCCCAAAAACCCTCTTTTATTTCACCGCTGTGAATTATTGTTCATTCACGGCCCGTAATGAGTCACAAAGAGTTGGTAAAGAGTCCGACAGAAGTCTGCCACAGTCCCTTTGGATAAGGCTGATAAGCACCCATGTTTATCTCCATTGACATGCTGCCAAAGACCTAATTGGCAATTAGCTTTGCAAGGCCACACGGAGCACAGAGTCAAAACGGAGCTTCAGAATTTAAACCGACCAGAATGAACAAAGTTGCTTCCTGCAAAGGCTCACGTGCTTTTGCTCCTCCTTTATGTCTTATGGGAGGGGACAATCACCTCCAAGCCCTACTCCCGAGTCGTCCCTTTTGTTTTAACTGTACTTGCCTTCTGGCAGCTCTGCGCATGCGCGCACTGGGAACAGGCTCCCCCTGTTTCTCTGCCTCGCTGACGTCAGATTCTAGAGGCTCCCGAGTCTGCACATAACTCTCAGATGGTCCTGGCCCCTTCTCTGCCTACAATGCAGAGCCCTCGTCTGAGCCTTCCCCAGACTCCAGGACTGGCCCATGTTCTTCCCCAACCTCCTCACTGTCTGACACTGCTGCCAGCTCCACAGGCTGCTGGCGGACCACAACATTCCCCAAGAGGTCTTCTGTGGGCACCTCTTATCTGGCTGAACATAGCCATGGTCAGGTATGAGAGGTGGTTCTCCAAACCTGCTGTAAGGACTCAGCACAGAATCCAGATCACAGCAGAGGCAAGCAATGGCCAAGCAGATGGCCTGCCTAGGCCTTGAAGCTACCAGAACTGATCTGAAAGAGAGCTATTTTAGCTCCCAGGGAACTGTCCTCAGGAAGTTTCTTTGGATGAAATGCTTTTGAGCATCCCATCCACCCTTTTTTCATCTTTCCATGACAAGGACTATTTGTGTCTCCACAAAAGGTCATTTCCCCCTTGCCCATCATCATCATTACTATTATTTGCTGCTCTTATTTCCCTCTTCACTTCACGTAAATTCTGATAAAAAAAAGTGTACTCAGAATTCCGGGATTGAAGATATTTCATGACTTCAATCAGAAGAAGCAGAGGCTGGGATCACCAGATGTAGCCTCGGATTCTGAAGAAAATCGAGTGCACACAAAGGGTCAGCGTAACCGATACTAACCTTGACTTTCGAGTTCAACAGCAAATCTCCAAGACTCAACAGGAATGAACGATATTGCCAATTTTGACTTGCTTTTTCTTTTCCCCTTCTTTCTTGTAAAGCATAGCAACTAAAGTATAAGTAGGCAAGAGATGATGGATGGATGATTCTTCTTCTCAGTTGCTGTTTTGAATTGTTTTTCCCTCACTCCCTCTCTCTATTCTTTTTTTCTCTTTTCTTGTAGGCAGGTGATATGATTAAAAGCTAGAATAAGTGATAGAAATAAAGGGAATATTAATGTATTACATTTTCACTTGATAAAATGAAAGTAATAACGAGAAATAGGTAGGATAATTGAATAATGATAGACGATAACCTAATATAGATGTGTATTGTTATGGAAATTACATGTCGATTGAATATAATAATAATGTTTAATCTGATCAGTTTTGTTTGTATTGGAATGTATGGCCCCCAGGTGCCACACTGCTCACACATTGATTTGACATTTTTATAAAAAATAAAAAAACAAAAAACTTGGCGGGAAAAAAAGGAATGATCCCTGCGCTTCCCTCACCAAGGGAGATGCCTTTCATTACAAGCTGAGGAAATATTTAATTCCCTCCAATTGTCTTTTTGCTAAAGACGGAAGTCCTCATTTGCTTTAGAGAAAATACATTTCTTAGAAAAGTGTGTGGCTGTTTCAACCAGGTGGTACAAATATAATGAACCTCTGGGAACAAAGGGACCTGATGAGCTACAGACGGACAAATTCCACTTCTGTTTCACTGCCATTCATAGCAGTTTGCAGCCTCTTGCTGTCAGTGTTTTGACAGCAAGTCATGGACATCAACGGGAAGTCATGGATTACAATGACATTACAACCCTTCAGGTTACCTCAGCACATCTGCCAAAGGAAACCAAGCCAGTTCTTTATTTTCTATGAAGTTGACATGTTGTGTATGTGTGCGTGGGTGGCTGGGTGGGTGGGAAATGGCCTTGTGGCTTCATCCTGCTCTCACAAAAGCACTGCACCACAGAGCAGTGAAGAGATAGACAACTAGAGCAGAGCAGCTGCTCGATTCCCCTTCATGGCAGCTCCTTGGGGGTAAGTCTGCTGCCCCCTTGGTGGTTCTGGACAAGGCCAGGCCCAGTTCTGCTGCAGAGGAAATGGCAATGACTCCGAGAAGGCGTCCAAGCAGCAGCCAAGACTGATGCATGTGTTTACATCTGTCCCCCAATTAGATTACATATTCTACAGGAGAAAGAGAGGAGGAAAGGAGAGGCAAACTAGAGCAGGGGTCTCCAACCTTGACAACTTTAAGACTTGTGGACTTCAACTCCCAGAATTCCTCAGCCAGCAAAGCTTTTGATGCAAAGAACATCCTGCTCCACTGCATGGCCTCCTTGCCCTAGGGCAGTTGCCCCTCTAACAGTTGCCAAAGCCTTATTGTTTCTGGATGCCCCACTGATGCCATTCCAAGCTAGCTGCCCTGAGAGCCATAGACACCTTTCCTACCTCCCCCAGAACAAAGGCAGCTGTTCTTGGAAGAAGAAAGAAGAGGGGAGGGTGAAAAGGAAAGAAATGCATTGGGTTGAAAGCAAAAACTGTTCTCAGCACAGTGGCTTAGGCTGTGCAGATCTTGGTTTGATTTATTTGTGTCATGACTTTATTATTTTTTACAAGAAAGGCAGTGAACATATTTAACACCTTCCTCCTCTTACTTTCCCCACAACAACCCTGTGAAGTGGGTTGGCCTGAGAACGTCACCCATCTTTTCAGGCCCTTTCCAAGCTGGGGAACTGCAACCCCACTTCTGGGTTGCTCAGAGGGACTTGTGATCCAACTTATCAGGACAAACCAGCCTGGAAAAAGGGGTTGCAGTGGCTCACTTGGTAAGATGCTGGGCCTGCGCACTGCTGAGGTCGGTAGCTTGGCAGTTCGATTCCCGTGAATGAATAAACCACAGAAGGGATAAGAAAGGAACCTCCTGTCAGGTTTCGATGTCATCTCAAATAAATTGCACTCCCAAACAATTAATCTTTGCTGAAATATTCCATTTATTGAGTACGACAGATCTAACCCTGACTTCGTCGTAGCCGATACTAACCCTCTGACCCCCAAACCCTTCCCTTTCCATTCCCCAATTCTCATCTTCTCATTGGCCATCTTCCAAGTCAGTCTCCCCAGCTTCTGACCTCACTCCACAGGAATGTTCCCCCCACCATCCCATCTCCTAGGGGATATTATCTACAGAGAAATAAGTAGGTGAAAAGTCAAGCCTCGTCTTTTTATGGCAGCATCAGAATACTGACACCTCCCCTGATTGGCTACCGGCATTCAGGCATCCCACGGGTAAAGATAACACCACCTGAAAAAAATTCCTTTTACAGAGGAAACCAGCCACCCCTGGCTATCACGTGCCATATGCTAAATAGATAGCATAGAAAACCTTTTATTTATTTATTTATTTGTCCCATTTCTATGCCGCCCAACTCCCTGGAGACTCTGGGTGGCTTACAACAAAAAATAATGCGAACAATATATCATAAAAGTTGTTTTGAAAAAACATTAAAAACCCATACACTCCATTCATGGCTGGGTCTCGCAAGATTGCAGCAGCGAGATCAACGGCCCCAGGCCTGCTGGAAAAGCCAGGTCTTCACCGCTTTCCAGAAGGCCAATAGGGTGGGGATGGTCCAGACTTCAGGAGGTTACTGGTTCCAGAGAGCTGGGGCAGCAACAGAGAAGGCCCTCCCCCGCGGGCCCACCAGCCAACATTGTTTAGCTGACGGGACCCGGAGGAGACCAACTCTGTGGGATCTTACCGGTCGCTGGGAGTTATGCGGCAGAAGGCGGTCTCGAAGATACCCTGGCCCTGAGCCATGTAGGGCTTTAAAGGTAATAACCAACACCTTGAATTGTGTCCAGAGACCGATAGGGAGCCAGTACAGCTCGCGGAAAATTGGTGTAATGTTGGTGTATCTAGGTGCATCCACAATAGCTCGCACGGCTGCATTCTGAACTAACTGTAGTCTCCGAACACTTTTCAGGGGTAACTCCATGTAGAGCACGTTGCAATAATCCACCTGTGAGGTGACAAGGGCATGAGTGACTGTGAGGAGAGCCTCCTGATCTAAGTAGGGTTGCAGTTGGTGCACCAGGTGAACCTGTGCAAAGGTCCCCCTACCCACAGCTGTCAGATGTTGCTCTAATCTTAGCTGTGAGTCTAGAAGGACACCCAGATTACGAGCCCGTTCTGAGGGGGATGATTTCTCTCCCCCCAGGACCGGAGATGGACAATCGACATAGTCTTTAGGAGGCAATACCCCCAGCCATTCAGTCTTGTCTGGGTTTGAATTGTTCAATTCATGGGAATCAATCATTCAAACATACAGGGTTTTATTATCATTTTCTTCTTTTCTTTCCTCTTTTCTTTTTTCTTTCAGGAGACACAAATTAAGTTCTGGCAGATTCTTTCCAGAGAAACGATTGGCAGCATCTTGCAGCCTCACCCATGTTTTTCAGAGTCAGCAACATCAATCCTACGTCCACTGGGTTCACCCCTCACCTTCCCAGTAACTCTGGCGTGAAGGTGTCCTAGTAACCATTTGGAAGAGGACATGTCCTCACCATCTCCGCTCCAGCCCACTTCAGAGGTGGCCTAAATCCGTCCTGAGCGGGTTTGCTCGTCAGTTTGGTTTTTTCCATTCCCCGCCTTCAGCACCTTGGTGGCGGACAGCGGCCGGCCCCTGCTCAAGGCGGCCTGGGCACCGCAGCCTCGGAGCTCCCGCGGGCACCTGCTCACCCTAAGATCCCCTTGGGGGCTCTTCGGAGGAGACGCCGCTCTTCCGGAGGCCCCAAAGGCCCGCAGAGGAGAGCAGCTGGCTGAGCCAGCCTGGAAACAGCTCTGGCTGCCGCCCTCCCGAAGGAGCCTGCCTGGCACACGGGGGTTGCCGCTGGCGCCCACCAGAGCTTCCCGGCCTCCTTTCTGCCATTGCCCGACTCCGGGGGCGTTGCCTTCCCTGAGGTCTCGGGCCCGTTTGCTCGGGGGTGTGTGTGTGTGTGCGCGTGCCCAGAGTGCGGTTCGTCCCTGGCGGCAGCACCGGCGCCTCCGCCTTCCCGCCCCTCCCTTTGTAGCTGCTGCCGGGGCGCGGCCCTCCTTGCTGGCGCAGTGCCGTCTCCCTCCTCCGCCTTCCCCGCGAGAGGCCCCGCCGGAGCCCAAGGCAGGAGCCGCCCGCATCTCCCGGAGGTCGGGCAAGACCGGCCCTCGCCAGATGCCCGAGGCGGGCGGCGCTGGCGGGCGCTCTCTCCGCCGCGGCGACTGGGCGGGGGAGGCCGGCCGGGGCGGCGGGAGCCTCGCTTGGCGCCCCCCCCAGCGGCTGGGAGGACGCGGAGCATGTGCAGAACCGGCCGAGGACCGGGCCGCCGGTGGGCGAGCTGGCCGAGCGCCGCGTGAAAGCCTCGCTTTGCCGGGGCCGGCCATGCCTCTGGCTGGGCTGCCGGCGCGGAGACGGAGCCGGGGAGGCGGCGGCGGCGGTGGCCGCCCGCGTTGAGCCCGCGCCCATGTTCTCCTGCTTCTGCTTCAGCGTCCAGCCCCAGAGCTTCGGCAGCCCCGCGCTGCCCGAGTAAGTGCCGCGGCCGGGCGAGGCGGGGGCGCTCGGGGGGTGGAAAGAGCGGCCTGCTCGGTCGGCGGGGAGCCTGGTGGGCAGGGCGCGAGAGCTGGGAATTCTCCCGGGATGGAGGGCTCGGCCCAGGCTGCGGAGGGCTCGGGGCTCGGAGCTGGAGGAGGGGGCGGGCAGCTCTTGGAGGCTCTGGCTTTGGCGCGGGACCGGAGGAGCTCCGGGGAGGGAGCGGAGGGAGAGGCGATTAATTGGGAGGGAGGTTGGCCGGCTCCCTTAAGGTCCACTTTCCTGACCAGAGAAGACCCAGGAGGCAATCAGTGGCGGCTGTCCAGGGTCCCTCCGCAGCCGAAGGAGCCTGGATAGCTCTGCAGACTAAGCACTGTAATTTAACACCAGCTGTCTGCAATTAAAGTAAGTTCGAATCTCACCAGGCTCAAGGTCGACTCAGCCTTCCATCCTTTCTAAGGTAGGTAAAATGAGGACCCAGTTTGTGGGGGCAATAAGCTGACTTTGTATAAATATACAAAAGTATGAAGGCTATTGCTTAATGCATTGTAAGCCGCCCTGAGTCTCCGGAGAAGGGCGGCATATAAATCAAATTAACATAACATAACAACAAGTGCGGGGCTCCGTTTTATCAGTCTGTCCAAGAGCTCAGAAAAGAGGAAGGGGGCTTCAGCCGAAGGAGGCACCTCGCGTGGGGCGGGTGTGTGTGTGTGTTTGTTGAGGAGGAAACATGTTTGGTCGTCTTTGGAACTAGAAGAGCAAAGAAAAAAAAAGAAGAAAAGAAAAGATGGTTTCCTAGAGATCAAACTGGCTGCCGTGAGCGACTTTTCATTGCTCAGCCTTCCTCTAGTGCAGTGGTTCTCAACCTTCCTAATGCCATGACCCTTTAATACAGTTCCTCATGTTGTGGTGACCCCCAACCATAAAATTATTCCTAAAACCATTGAAAATATTTTTTTTCCGATGGTCTTAGGCGACCCCTGTGAAAGGGTCGTTCGACTCCCAAAGGGGTCGCGACCCACAGGTTGAGAACCACTGGTATAGGGGAATCAGGAAAACGGGGGGCGGGGAGTGGGAAAAATCTCATCAGTCAAACCACCCCCGGCCCACCTGCAGCTCACAAGCCCTGCCCGTACCCCAATAGAACCTCTGTGTTCAGAGGCAGTCTATCCCTAAGGACATGTGTGTTGGGGCCATGTGGCTCTGGGCAGGCACAAGGGAGGGGTTGGGGCAGGACAGGAGGACCCCAAAGGGCAGTGCAGGGCTTGGCCTGGATTGCTGCCCAGACCTCCCATCTCCAAGCTTAGAGATCTTCCTGGTCTTCTGACATGTTTTTTCCACCACAGGGTCAAATTAGGAAAATTGATGTGGAAAGGAAGCAATAAATAATCCTCCTTTCTGAATAGGGAGCTGGTGTGAAAGCCACTTTCCAGAAATCCCAGGAAGCCCCTGTATTGATGTTCTCAGAAAGCAGGGCAAGGCAGGTGGCCATGAAAAAAAAAAAGGAAAAGAAGGAGAAGAAGCCTAAGGGTATCAATTACTGAATTCAACATCCAGATTTAGTGGCAGCCTCTCACAGGCACCGTCAATCCTCAGTTGGTTAATCCCTCATCCCCATCTCGGCTCCTTGGGCGATGCTCTCTCAGTTGCCTTTCCTTTAAACACTTGCCCAAATTTTTCCTTCTGAGAAAGAAGAAATAAATTCAAGACGGTTTTCTGCACAAACTTTGGACTTGGACTCTGTCAGCCTTCCCGTTTTCTTTTAAAATTCATTTTGAATCCCTTGTGGGGGAAGTGGGAAAGCTTTAATGGTTTCTTTTGAAACGTCTTTTTGTTCCTATCTTCCTGCCTTGTGGTCGAAGATGCTGCTGACCCCAATATGGGAATGTTGTATTTTCAAGTGACCCAAATATAGAAATCTTGGTTTTGGGGTGTGTGTGTGTGTGTGTGTGTGTGTGTGTGTGTGTGTGTGCTTGTTAATTAATGTTGGAACAGCACAGAGAAACGGTCCATCTTCCCACTATGGCCTTAGATAAAACACCTTAGATCAGGGGTCTCCAACCATGGCAACTTTAAGACTTGTGGACTTCAACTCCCAGAGTTCCTCAGCCAGCAAAGCTCTGGGAGTTGAAGTCCACAAGTCTTAAAAGTTGCCATGGTTGGAGACCCCTGCTTTAGAAGTTTTATCCCTTTGCCTTTCCAGGCAGGATCCTTCTTGGGGGGATCTCAGAAACTTCCCTCCAGGGCACACAACAGCTGTCCACCCAGCATTTTGTCAGGATCATGGCAAGCGAGGGAAACTTTAAATTTAAAAGTTCATTAAAAAAAAAACCACACCCACCCCATATTCCAAGGTGAGTTGGAGTTAGGTCTCTTGTGGGTGCAAAGGAACTCAAGACTAATGATGCATTTGACCCCTCCTTCAGGCTCACCTTGGTCTCTCCTACAGAAGCTTTTGATTTTTTTTAAAAAAGAAACTCTGAGAATCTTAAGACTAATTGTATCCTAACTCTGAGGACTTTCTATGCTTGATTAGGTAGAACTATGGAATAAGACCATTTGGCCTGTGAATAAGATTTTGATGATTTCCCTTGAGAGCTCCAGAATCTTCTGCAGTTAAAAATCCTTTCTTCAGATTTATTATAATCCACATGTCACACTCGTTTTCTCCTTATTGAAGAGGGAGGGTGTTTGAGCCAGGATGGGTCTCCTCGTGATACAACATCCTTTTAAATCTATTCTAACAAATAGTTCAGAATTGACTCTGAAAGTAGCACAAAATGCTACACCTCCTTAAAATGTCATCACACTAATTGAAATTATGTAAAAATTGTGTTGGAGGATATAATCACATTATATAAAACATATAAACGTATTCAACCAACCTCGATTTTACCAATTCGTAAGGTCTTTCAGGCTAAACTTGTTCCGATTATGCTCTAATCGGTGCCGAAATCTGGGGTCTTATAGAGGCCCCCATATTGGAGAGAACTCAAAATAATTTGTTAAGGAGGATGTTGGGGGTAAACAATTCCACTTCGGCAGCAGCCATCAGAGCTGAATTGGGACATTTTTCACTGCTCACCTACACAATTACTAGGGCGGTAGCCTACTGGCTAAAAATGACTCAGATAGAAGCCAGCAGACTTCCCAAAATCTGCCTAGAGGAACAGCAGACTTCAAATCCTCAAAGGTATTCCTGGCTAACTCGGCTGTCAGAAATATTGAATTGATATGGCGTAGGGTTCCCGTTGTGTGACACACTGAAGCAAGTTAAACAACGGATTAAAGGTATACATGGGCAAATGGACATGGCAACTCTTTCAACTAATCACTCCCTTAAGCTTATGACAGCAGTTAAAACAACTTTTACCCTGGAAAAATATTTACATCTAGAAATGCCATCAGTGGAGAGAGAGCTATTTGTCAAGTTTAGATTTGAACTTTTAGATACCAACGTCAAATTCGGCTGTTACCGGAAAATCCCGTATGACAAAAGAACATGTATATGTGGGGCAAACATCGTGGAGGATACGGCACATATAATATTTGAATGTAGGTTGTATGAGGAAGTAAGAAAACAATATCTGTCCCCAATTATAAATAAATTTCCCCACTGGAATGTAAGGCATAAATTATCATTTCTATTGAAGGCAGACTCTCCTCCCCTGGTAAGGGCTATTACTCGCTATCTTAAAAGGATGACAGCAATACGAGCCAGTTATATCGAAAAGAATTTCATTGATTGTAAGAAAGATGAGCTGAGTTAGAGAGGAGTTATCTTATCTGGGTTATCTAGTTTTGGAAATCTAGTTATTGAACTTCGATATTGTTAAATTTTAAATGTCATATATCATATATTTTTAGACTGTTATTTCTGTAACTATTTGTTTTATCTTTTTCTTTTCTTTTCTTTTTTTTGAAAAGGCCTTCGGGCTATTCAATAAAAGAACCACTGTATAAAACATATTGCCACCTCTGGCAATATTTTGGTTGAGGAAAGTGGAAATACTTTTGAAGAAATTGGAAAAGTTAGGCAACAGTCTTTTTAGTGATTCGTTTTTATTTCTAAGCCAAAATGGGGGTGGGGGGTGGGGTGAATGGAAGTGGTGAGCTCACAACTTTACTTAAGATCCAGGAAGCCAATGAACTGCTGAGCAAAAGTGAGGGTAGTAGAAAGGCTTATGATTCCATTTTCATAAGAAGGATTTAAAAATGGCAAGAAAGGAGTCTGTCTCTTGGCACGGTTTAAAAATTTGTGAAAAAGTGAAAACTGAACTGTTGGCCAAGGTCTAATTCATAGTTTCTATCAGTGGTGAATGCAAAATTTGTTACTACTGGTTCTGTGGGTGTGGCTTGGTGGTGGTGGGTAATGTGACTGGATGGGCATGGCCAACTTTTTTTAAAAGCCTCTGACGATCAGGCAACTCAGCTGGGATCATCAGAGGCTTTTAAAGTATTTTTTTCTACAGCCTCTTCGGCCAAAGAGGTTGTAGAAAAAATGCTTTTAAAAGCCTCTGACAATCCCAGCTGAGTTGCACGATAATCAGAGGCTCTTTTTTTCACTTTTAAAAGCATTTTTTCAGCCAAAGAGGTTGTAGAAAAAATTCTTTTAAAAGTTAAAAAAAAAAAGCCTCTGGTGATCGTGCAGCTCAGCTGGGCATGGGGAGGGGCCAGGGATTTTTGCTATTGGTTCTCTGAACCACCCGCCGCCATCGCTACCGGATTGGGCGATCCGGTCTGAACCGGGAGCATTTCACCCCTGGTTTCTATTATGTTAAAATTTAAACACTTCTGGAATCTGGGACATATCAAGAACAGCATTCAGGAGATATTTTTATCCCTGATGTTTTAGTTATTAATTGAAGGGAAAAAAATCAGATTTGCTGCGGGATCAAAGCGGTCTCTAGGACACAGCTATTTTGAGCCTAAGGATACATCGTTAACAAACCCATTTTTGAGACTTTCATGGGAAGCCCAGTTAAACAGGTAGGAAC